TATAGGTGCCCTACAAGTCAATCACGTAAGTGATGACACGTATGACATGACACGCACTCTTTTTGCTTATTATATTATTTGACATTTTATCATTTTACATTGTTTGTTGCATATATATATATATATATATATATATATATATATATATATATATATATATATATATATATGTCCATGGATCTGTACAATGAGAATCGGATCATGATGAGATCACAATAATGAGACCGATTCACCTTGAAACACAGACCCTAAATAATCCTGATCATAGGTTACTCGAGAGGAATATCGAGATAACTAGACAGACTAGTGTGTTGTATAACCATTCATATGATGGAGGCAGCTGGTCTCATAGTTGCTCATGTGGGGATACTAGGGCTACAGTGCAGGTACTCATTAGAGAATGAGTTCACTGATTGATCCGCTCATGGAATGCGAGGCGGTTAATGATATCTCATTGTCAGACAGCGATTCCGTTGTCCCAATGGTGTATCTGGTCCTTAGACTTGAGACATCAAGGATGTCCTGTATGAGTACTTCACTCTTTGATATCAGACTTATAGCCCTGGAAGTTCCAGATCTAACACAGCTGGTCATCGGGAGTGGCAGCCAACCTTACATGGACTATTGAGTGTCGATAGATGATCATCCACTCTCGGTGTCATGAGAGAAATATCACATGTTTTCTTGCTCAGACAAATCCCTGGCCAGGGTCATTCGGATTGAGAGTGAAAGAGTTCTTTGGGAGAATCCGATTAGAGCGAAACTCGAATAGAAACCGTATGGGTCTGATAGCATCATGCCCGGTATGCGGTCTCTGTGATATTAGATAGATGAGAGACCATAAATACACGGTAACTGAGGACAAACAAGTTCAATGGATTGGATTCCCCTGTATCGTTTGGGGACTGCGGCGTAGTGGCCTAGTACGTCCGTAATCGATGAGTCGAGTGAATTATTATGGAGATAATAATTCGCTGAGCCAGAATGAGTTCTGACAGGTTTGACTCACGACCAGCTCGATATGGGGTCTAGAGGGTCACACACATATGATAGGCGTTGCGACGAATAAAGGTCCGGATATAAGATATCCGTCGGAGCCCCTATCTTATTGGATATCCAATAAGCTCATAAATTACTGGATCCTATGGATGAGATCTAATAAGAGCCAATGAGAGATTATTGGATATAGATCCACTAATCTAAGAGGTTTGGGTAGTTGGATGAAGA